TTTGTTTGTTTTACAATGACTTGGGAATTTGGCTATGAATTGTGGGGTCTAACCTGTGAAACTCGAATTTCACTCATAAATTGAGGACAATGGCAAGCGACGGCAAGAGAAAGTAAAATTACATCCACTGTGACTTGTAAAGATCTCTCCTTGATGGAAAATTTTTTGTTTCCTCTTTGTTCACCTGTTAGGGGTTCAGGGATGCAGTAAGAGGTAAAACAGGTCAGAGGTTTTATAGGAGGGAGAGTGGGAAACAATCTTGAAAAGAAAAATTGTGAGATCTTTTGTGATATTTAATTTAGAATAATATTGTGGAGTGGCTAATGGTGATCTACTTCACTGAATGCAGCCTGTAATCCTGGCCATAGAATCGTAGAACGCTTTGGGTTGGAAGAGACCCTAAAGATCATCTCCTTTCAACCCCCTGCCATGGGCAGGGACACCCGTCACCAGGCCAGGTTGCTCAGAGCCCTATCCATCCTTGAACACTCCGAGGATAGGGTATCAAAAGGCAGTGAAAGTTTAAATGGAAGTCATTTAAAGAAGCTAAATTGAAAAACACTTCACTCAATTACAAAAAGAAAGAGAGAGAAAATTCTTCATTAGTATTTAATGGCACATAAGGTGATTTTTCAGATAGTGTGGGAATACTAACCGATAGCTTTACAGTTCCCCAGTTCTTTCTTCTCCAAGTCATTTCATAACTTGAAGACTCCTGTTTTCACTAAAATTGAATGTTTCTTGGAAATTTCTATATAAATCTGTGGATGGTTGCAAAAGGGTCAGAAGTGCACTTAAAACCTTGTCCAATAAGCTGAAAAGTTTAGAAGAAGAAAGACTTTAAAAAGGTTAAATGAGTCCTATACAAAGTGGAATCAGACCACAAGGAAGATGTTTTAATGTACTATTATCTCAAGAGTTAACTTCTGTGTGCATTGTATATGCAGATCAAATCACTCGTAGCTGAATTATGGCAAGGCCATCCTTTTTTCTATTGTTCTATATTCAAACATTAGTGATCAAATTCTTCCCAAATTAAAATGATTTAAATCTTATCTTACATTTTCAAAATATCTTTTGATACTGAGCAGAGCAGAGTGTGTTTCTGTGCTCATGCATATTTTGTTGGTGAGCCGTTTTTGTTTTGTTTTGTGTGGGGGCCGTTTCTTTGATTGTTCTGGGTTTGAGGTTTTTTTGTTCCTTCACAGCCTTTGATTTTTCTATTACCTCTACCTTTGGGATTTTTTGGAGGGGGGCAGTGAGAAACTTGGATTTCTGGGCTACAAGCTGCAACAAAGAAATCCAAAGTTCCTTCAAGCTGCCTTTGTCAAAACTCTGTGGAGGAAAGAGACTGGGGAGAGCCTGGAGAGGACAGAGGGTACATACAACCTTGTACACACTGATTGCTCAGCTCTAGAGTCCTGTGAGATGGAGAGCATTTTTTGGTGCTTTGAGTTCTTGTGAAGTAAGAATCATGGTCTTCAGAGCGGTGCCTTAGTTTTAAAACCATCTCACTGGGACTAAGTTAGGGGTGCATGAGGTACGAGGCCGGGCATTTTATGGACTTTGCCCCTGCCTTCAGCTAAACTTGTAGATGAATCCCTTTATTATCATTTCCTTTTATCAAACTGTGTTAGGGTTTTTCTCTCTTCAGTTTTGAGTAGCTATTTAATATCAACAGGGCAAGTTTAGTTGGCACTTTTTATTTCTTTTTTTTTTTAAATTTATTTTTAAAAGGAGAAAAGTTAATCTTTCAGTTCTAAATCCTTTGTCTAGATTTTATTTTGCTGCCCTCGTGCTTCTCTATCCATAAATTGCACTGTCATGGTCTTTTTTAACATGCACATGATTTTAAGGGGCTATAAATACTTTCATATTAAATTTTAGTTGAAACAACTGAGCAAAACCTGTGCCCTAGAAGATGTTTGTGAGTTTCCATGACCGATGATATATTTTATAAATATCTGTGGGGACTTGGGGTTTTGTTTATTTGTTTAGTGTTAGCCTGTAGCAGTAATCCATTTTAGAGATAAAAATAAACACAGTGATTGTTTTGAAATTCGTTTTCAGTGCTATAAAGCTTCTGTTTAAATACTTCTAATCTGATACTTTTATCATTGTAACTGAAGTATCCCAGGAATAGCCTTAAGGTTAGATGAATATATCTGATCTTCCAGCATTATCTGAAGCCCTTCCTCCCTGCAGCAGGATAAATATTTGCCTTTTGTTAAACAGGATAGATTCCTCTGTACTTCTGAAAAACATGCTGGCTTCTGCAGCCTTGTTTAATTGGAAACCTCCCAATGAATCCTTTTTCCTAATTTAATTCTACTATTGCATTGACACCAAATTTGCATGTATATGTGGGAGGGACAGTGAGCTTTTCTACTCACCTTTCTACATCCCTTCTCCATTGCACACAAAAACGAACACATAACCCTGAACAGTCCAGATGAATTCACAAGTGTGTCTGCTGTTCTGTTTGAGCATCTGACTGTAGTTGAATGTCATCTGTCTGTAGTTGGTGTTTTCCTGTTTTAATAAATAATCACATGGAAGTTTTCCTTTTCTGCTTTTTAGGAAAGATTTAGCTAGGAGATATTATGTGTTTTCATGGGCAGAATATCTGTTCTCTAACAAGACTGGGAAACAACTGCTACTATTGCTTTGGTTAAAAGGAGAGCACACATCTTTCCTGCCTGGGAACTTACCCTCTCCTCTGATCCCTTTCTGGGCAAAGTCACGGGGTCTGAAACTGTGGGTTTAGTTGCTGAAAGAGGGCTTTCCAAGTGTTGAGCATCTCTCATAAGCATACACTTATTTCCATTGGGCAAGTTTTCCTTTGACCAAACTGGCTCCCCCAGGTTGGAGGGCATGTCTGCCTCTGTGCACACCAGTCATCTCTGCAGCCAACTCCGCAGAGCCAGCTCCTCCCTCTGGCTTTTCCAACCAACTGCCGTGTAGCTGCTGTCCTCCTACAGTTAATATTAGCAAAGGAAAAGAACTTTCCAGTCAAATTTTCTTCTAAGCTTTTGATCTAGAAGTCAGGGAAACTTGAGGAAAGAATTATTGGCCTGACAGAAGAATGATCTCGCTGGAATCTCTAAAATTTCTTTTCAGCCTCTTTCTTTGTTCAGTTCAGTTCAAACTCAGTGGTTTCCAGTTCAATCTGTACTGTATAAATTCCCATACTTACTACCATGCCCTCATGTGGAGAAATAAATTCTCAAGGAACCCTTTCTAATTTATGAGATTTACCATATCAGATGGTTATTTCAGTTACAATTTTGGGCGTTCTGAGGCAATTAAGGAGGGAAGAAATTTGGACACCATCAATCTGGAATCCTGGTGGGAGCTTAAAACACAATAATAATGGGGCCACTCTCGTTCATATAAGCAATAGCTGTGCTGCCAACATTATAGGATGCATTGTGCTCTTATCAGAGAACCCTGATCCCACAGAGCTTCCTTCAGGAGTTATTTCCCAAATGTGATTGCTGTAGGACTAGCAGATGCAGATGTTTCCCTTCACAGGAGTTAATAGCAAAGCTATTCTTGAGCTACTTGCTAGTAAGAAGGGATTATATGAACGCTCCCTGGTCAGCTCTTTTCTTTTTTTCTGTATACCGGTATATGTGTGGAAGTTGAGAAGTGTCTCTGTAAGGAAGGTGTATGTTTGTGGAGAGGACAGGGAGATGAACAGATGACAGCTGAGATGATTATGTCGCAATAGCACCCTAGGAATGGTTGAAAGTGTTTACTTGTAGATGCTTGTTAGAGTATTGGAAAAGTTCCAGGTGCTGCCACTTTCCTGATTATTCTGTAACTAGCTCCATATAAATGCAACAAATTTTGCATTGACCCTCTGCATTGCACTCAGTGAGTTCATGATCTCACATTGTAAATATTCATTATTCTTATAACATGGAAATTAATTCTAAATGGAAAAAAAAATCCACAGAGCATCCCTTCAGAATTAGAGGAAAGAAAACAAGCTTTCAGGAAAATGCAAGGAATATGAGTGTCTTACAAACTTTAAGACTGTTTGTATGCTTTCTTTTTTGAATGGAGCATAACCTAATGGTATACAACATTAAATGAAGTGGAGAACTGTATCAAGTACAAATGCAAAAGAAGCCCAAAGAGAGAATATTTTCTAAATCTTCCATCAGTCTTTTGGTTCGGGGAGGAAAAAGCATAGATGGGAGGGAGAGGAGGCAAGACAATGTAGCCTTTTTTGTCATGTTTAATATAGTTTTCTTTTTTTACTTATGTGGTTTGTAGGTTATGGAACCTTTATGCATGACTTACAATTCTCTTTTGCCAGAATTACTACTGAACTGAAGCCTGCTTTTACCATACTAATAACTCTACTGAAATAATTCATGTACTGGCATCTGATAACTTAAATATTGCTATTTGCAAATAGTCCTGAACTGAGTTGGGCTCTCTGTTATTTCTTACTCAGTGGTTCACCCTGTTCTGTTTTCCAATTGAGCTATTGGTCGCTTAACAGGAATGTTTTACTTGTGTTAATTTAGAAAGTGTGATGTCCAATGCCAGCTGTCCCATGCCAGCACAGTGTGTACTGTCCTTTAAGCCAGAAAGACACTGCCTTTAATGACTAATGGGTTGAACATGGGTATTGTCATGAATATTTTCCATTAATGCCTCTGCAGGTAGGACAGAAGCAAATGGAAAGCCAAGCTTAAGAAAAAACAGTGACATCTTTGAATCTCAAAAATTAATATCAAAAAATATAAATAGGGGAGAGGATAACATTTTTGTATTGGTAGCTACCCTTGTGCCAGCACATACTTAGCAGAAAGTTTTAGGTGTCTTTCTGTTTAACATAGAGGAGCCAAAACTCCCTCCTCCTCAGTGTTTTCCTTCCATTTCTAACTTCATTGCATTTCTTTTTCTGGGGACTCATGTTGTTTTCTCTTCCACCTTCTGTCTTTCCATCCCACTGCATGCCTCTTTCCTTGGTCTGACCTCAGAGAGGACGAGTATGAAGAGGAGGAAGAAGAACAGCCAATCACAGAGCCCAATACTGAGGATGAGGGGGAGGAAGAGGCCAATAGGCAGGTCAAAGCCAGGTACCAGGATTCAGCTTTGTCCCTCCACCTTTTCTTCAGACACTGGCATGAACTCACCAGCACAATGTGCAGCAGCATCTAGTTTTTCACTCACGTTCCTAGATCACCTGTTAAAGCCACTCCCCAAGGAAATGTTTCTGCATTTAGGGAGGGGGTTGGGGGTGGCAGTGTTAATGGAAACATGTCGGCACTTGCTCCCTTTATGTACTGCTCACAGATCTTAAAGGGTTTACTGGAAAGCATAGCTTCTAAGCATGGATTAGGTTTATCTTTTTAGTTAAGGCAATGGTGAAAAAAATGCTTTGCTGAAGATGTTGTTTGGTTTCTTAGATTTTCATCCCTGTCTTTATAATGCCACCTTATTAGAAATATCTGTTGCTATGCAGTAGATTCACATTTTTGAGTGCTGCCTATGTTTTCTATCAATTTTGTTCATGTTTTAATAGCAAAGAACTACTATGAGGTAAAACTGATATATATGTGTGTGTATATATATATATAATTTTATAAACACTTGCCCATCTATCTAGATACAGATATAAGCAAATCACCTATATATATCACCTCTCATTTAAAAGTTTCCGCTTAGATTTGAGATATATATGCATTTGGCATTTAACAACATGATTCTAATAAACTGGAAGCAAGAAAATACATTCTTTGTTCCAGACAGACATTTGATTTAGGTTAAATTATTTGGCTTTGCAACTCAGCAAATGAGATTGGATATTTTTTTAAATAAACCACATTTATGCAGACACTGTACAGCACGGAAGGAAGAAAGGAAACTGTTTAATGTGTGAATTCCAAAGAAAATACTGTACTGTTGTTATTAATATCTTCCAGTTAGCAAATCTTGGCAATGGCTGCCTGAAATTTCAAAATTAGGTGATAATTTCCCCAAATCTGATTCTTAAAAGTCAAAGGAAAGACACAAGTTATTACTAAATTGCATGAATATACTAAAGTACTATAAAAAAAAGGTGAGGAAGATCTACGCAGAGAACATAATGTGTTTTTAGGTCATTGGTCTTTTAAAATGATAATCACTTTGAGATAACTGGCTGATATTCTCATTATTTTTCTTAGTACTTCCTTTCACTGTCACTGTAGCATTACAAAAATGATCTGTACCTTGGCCATTCTTGTCAGGTGCTGTCAGGACGGGTAGGACTAGCATGGTTTCAATGTCTCCTGTCAAGCACAGTAGGTGCAACAGATGAAGGTTTCCAGATTGCCCGCTGTGCTTCCATTGTGAGAACAATTACCTGGTATATATCTGATGATTCACTTCATAATATCACAATATATATAACATGTATCGTGTTTTTGTTGCATATGCTGTGCCAAACCCACAGATAAGGACCACGCCTTCCATACCTGTCAGTGAATTGCAGAGGTGGTCTCAGTAGAATGAAATCAGCCACTTGCCAAGTGGATCAGCCCAAAGAAAAATGGACAGTGTTTTTGCTGGAGTTACTATGAAAACAGATATCTTGGAGTGCAGATCCCATGGCTTTTCACCTGCCTTGTGCCTTCTGTCACTCACCAACATCTGTCTTCAGTAGAGCAAAGCAGATGTGCTTTCTGTTTCCCTTGAAGCAACTCTGCAAGTCTCTATCTAATACCAGCATGGGATACTGACACTCAGAGAAATCAGAAATTAGTGCCTTCATACCTAGGCAAATGGTCTGGTAAGGTATTGCTTTCAAGATCATTCCAAACTTGAATTTTGACAGAACAGTGGTGATTGAGTATACTTTTTTTATTTTCATCTTTGACAGATAAATGTTTCTAGTAAAAATATCACATCCCCAGGGAGGATGATACTCAGATACGTGAAGATGCTTCAAGAAAGTCATGCAGTCATGCGTCTTGAAGTATCTGTACTCTATGGACCATGTTATCCAGTGTGTTGAGTCTGCTTATACTGTCTCTGACGATGCTTACAACCTAACCTGAAGTTCATGAAAATTGTTCAGAAAATACTTGTGAAAAAAATCATGAAAATTAGTTCAGAAACCTGTAGGTTAAATACCCTCCTTTCCTTTAAACTGAGTTGCTTCCTTTCCCTGGTATTTCCAACCCCAAGAAGAATCCTACTGGGATACAAAGATGTGAGTTATCTTGCTTTATTTAAAAAGAGATGAAAATTGTCTATATTTGGAATGGTTTTGATTGTTTGACACTCCTTTACTTGATTTTTTTTCCCCTCCAAGTGTTACTATCTATTGATCTCTCTTTTCCCCATTTTTCTCTCCTTTTCTTCCCTTTCTCATGATTTTTCCCCCCTGCAGTGAAGTTCAAGATGTGCAGGAGTCTGTGAATGGAAACTTTTCACAGTGTTCTTCCGCTGTCTCCAGTACCATTTCTCCAGCTGAGAGGTCTCTTCCCTGCGCTAGAGCAAAGACCTCTTCTAGCAGCTCCACTTCTGTGCCTGACTCATCTATCTGTCATCATAATTCTGTCCTTTCATCATCATCCTCATCATCACCTGTGACAGCATTTCTGAGCTCTCCCCAAAATTCCTCAGCATCCATTACTCCAAAGGCATCTCCAACAGTGGAGAAATTACCTTATGTACCACATACTCCTTTTCACCTCTTCTCATATGACTTTGAAGAGTCTCCAGCATCTGTGAAAGAGAAGGAAGCAGAAATGATGAGGGAAAACAGGTAGATTCTATGCAGCTGACATTCATTTTTAGCTAACGAATAACACCTTTCAAGAATTTTATAGTGGTAATAGTGCACTCTATGTCTTGTATTATTTCCAGAACATACTGTATAAATTTTAGTCTTATAAGTCCGTATTTTGATTTGATTGATATTCCCTTCTTGCCTTTGTTGCCTTTATTTCTTCTTACTCTTCTCCAAGGTCTATGATTGATAAGTATCCTGGTTTCCTCTATAGAGCAGTGGATAAGTAACCCATGATTTGGGAGATCACAGAAAGGAGCACCATTTTGCTCTCGTTTAAAACAATGTAATTTGAAGACATGATTTCATGAAAATTAATGGAGCTCTTCTGCTATAAAACCAAGAGAGGTCAGATCAGCACTTGAAATTCAGGGGTGAAATCCCAGCTTCAAAGGCTGAACTGCTAAATCCCAGATTTGTTGTTAGATTACAGTGCATGTCCGTGTCATGTGCAATTTCAACTCATGCTTGTAATAAGAGATCTGTAAAGATAATATAGCACTCCGAATAGACAGTTTTATCCCCACAACTTCTGCTCAGTTCAGTTGTTCCTCTTGCATTTCTCTTAGTTTTTAATTTTAATTTCCCCATCCCGCCCATTTAAATTTTTTTAAAAAATTGCTTTGTCTCAGTCTGTTTTAAGGTAAAACAGATTGACAGTAAGTAGTACTAAAAACAATGATAAAGAATCACCTTGAAAAGAGTTTGATGATTTTTTACTGTCTCTCCCAGTTGTCAGTGTTCTTTGAATTAGGTGCTGAAAATGTACACATATATTTTATGTATATTTATTTCTTCCTCTGTCCGGCAGTCCTTCTGAATTTCTGCATATGATCAAATATTTTGATTCCTTTGATCCTTTTAATTTTCAGTCTTTCTCTTCTAAAAGGTGGGTGTGTTTTGTCATTTTTTCATACTGCTGAAAAGCCTGAAAATCCAAGCAGCTGTTGACAAGAGACTTAGTTCACATATTTTTTCTTACCTGCAACTTGAACACTGGAATTCCTGTAAATTTACATTTTCTTGCATAGACGCAATTTTCCTCTAGACCTCTCACACTCATTTATTGCTCTCCCATTGCTGCTGTTATACTTTAGAGAGTAGATTCCTTTTTATTTCCTGTACCTACAGTACAGGAAATAAAATATTTATGCAGTGGAAATAGGAAATAATATTTATGCAGTGGTTTGTTTTTTTCCTCTGACCATCCTTTGCACTTCTAGTTACCACACAGAATCAAGGGTATCGTAGGGGGGGTGGAATTCTGCTGGGTGTATTTGGAGTTAAGGGAGGGGGAAGCTTGCAAAATGTGGGCACTAATATGTCCATAAAAGAGGTAAAGGTCTGGGGTTTCTTGAGAGCGAAGGCTCCCGGGATAAGGCCGTTGCATCTTCACTGGTATATGAGACAAGAAGAGAAAATGGAAGTAATATCCATTACCAGAGGAAGGTTAGGAAGTTTTATCTACAAGATACGTACTTACCCTGGACAACACTGAGGCACATGGTGTGACTTGTGGGAGTGGTCATGTTGCAGGGCCAGGAGCTGGACTTGATGATCCTTGTGGATCCCTTCCTACTTGGCATAGCCTGTGAATCTGCGGTGTTCAGGTTTTGCCATGTTACTCTTCCAGCACCTCATTCTCCCTCTGATGGGATGTTGTGTCCAGACCAATCCCTCTGAATTTTATTTTTTTAGTAGTTGTAGGTCTGAGTCCATAGGAGGTGTGTTTCCTCCGTTTTCATGAGAGTTAGGTTTGGACTAATTGAAATTCCTTGGTCTGAAAAAGGGTTCTGCACTATGCCAGCTTTTTCATGGGGCAGAGGAGTAGAAAAGCATATGTAATGATTGATAAGAAGGTCTCCTTTCAGTTGATCAAAATGGAAATGGAGGTTTCTGTTAGTGCCAGGAAAATACCGAGTTAGCTTTGCATTCTTGTTAGGGCAATGGAGTTTTCTCATGGCTCACTCAGTGCGGGTACAGGCAGAATGTTTTCTGGGCTGACTCAGAGAGAAGACCCAAGCTAGGACTGTGCTACCAGGGAAGATCCACACTGCCCAGTTACACATCCCTCCAGTGGGCCACTGTCTCCAGTTTCTAGTTAGTTTTCTTATAGGGTAAGAAGGCCTGGACGGCAATTATTTCCTGAAAAATTCCTTGTGTAGCTCAGAAACATGCATGTTAGAATTTTTTTCCAAAATTATTCCCCTATTCCTGGGCAGTCTGCATGGCATCTCAAAAATAGGTGGTAGGGGGATGTTTTCTAAAATATAAACCTGGAGTTGTTGTCCAAGGGGGCACATTCTCTAAAGCACAATCCCTTCCATTATAAAAGCATCTTACTGAAATCTCTTCTGATTTTAACGTGGGCCTTGGCAGGCAGGAATGCTGTTGAACCCTAAGGAATCAAGCTTGAAACTTTGAATGAAGTTTTGCATGGCTAGATGAGTGTGCTAAATGGAGCTGAAGGAAACCAACCAGCCTTTTCAAATAAAATTGCCAATTGAAATTACTGAGTGCTGATGTGTGGGAGGGAAAAAGCAACAGACAAAGGATATGGCAAAGGAGGTTATATTATATCTTATGAATTATAATAACAAAAATGATGTTTCCCCATTTCCTGAAATTAATTTTGTCATTTGGATGAGTTGGCCTTGCAGAGTACTGACCTACAGAGCATCATATGCTTTCCATGTGGTAAAATGGCATTGTCTGTGAACAGAAATATTAATATTTTGCCAAATCAGGAATCTCTCCTTGACATGCTGATTAAGTACAATGGTTGAAAGGCACAGCAAAGCAACACAACTACCTTTTCTGTTCAGTACAGGAGCCAGGATGAAAACATTGATAGAAGGGACTCTGGGGAGGTGACTGTTCCAGGAGTCCTGGAAACAATTTCTCTTTGATCAGCAAGCTCCCATTGAAGTCAAGCGAGTTTATGGGTTTTTTTTTTAATGGAGGGAAGGGCTGATAGAAATTTCTAAAGCCGTGCTTCCGGAGACATGTCTTTTTAACCATGGTGATGATTTTTTACAGACATTGTAAGAAATGGCACATAAGCTATTACTTATGTTAGGGGAGGGGAAAGAAAATGCTGCTGGCTTTAATTGAAAAGAATGTGGTTCTTTCCATTTAAAATGCAAGTTTTTGCAAATTATAGATGGCCATGTTCTGATCATGTCTTGGGAACGCTGCTGTTTTCCCTAATTTCACAGGATATGAATACTGCTAACTTGGACTGGTTTGATCCCTTTTCTAATGGCTGTATATGAGCTCCCAAAGCAGCTAATAATTTTGAGTAACTGAGCAGTAATTCAAGTATTCCTACTATGAGTTGTCACTTGGGAGGACCGTTCTAATCTCTCATTATTTTCCTTACCAATAATTCACTGTTTGCATCACCTATGTTTGTGAACATGGTTGATATTAAAAGTATATGATAGGCTGCATATTTGGAAGCTGGAAATAGAGCAACATTTTCAGAAGGTGAACGTTTGAGAAGTTCTTGGGTATGGGATCACTAGCACCCCGTAAACAAGAGGATGTACTGTTGCATGCCTGCTTGCTGATGGATTCTTTCTGTCTCTCCCTTTCTCCTACTTTTCTTCCCATTTCTTCAGATACAATAGCTATGGCAGCAGCTCTTACTCTTCACCACGACCCTATGCTGGTGTGAGTGCCCCTACAACCCCCACTACTCGTTATGGGACAACTCTGTCACCACCTCAAGAGACCAAATCTGACAGGTTTGTAAATTAATCAATGTTTTACCAACAGTTTCTCTGTAGACAGGATGAAGAAGATAAATGTAAGCTGTTCTGAATGAGTACTGGAAATAGCTTCTACCCAGATTTTTTCTAATGCTGGAAAGAAAATGGACAAAAATCTAAATGTGTTCATTTCCCACTCATTCTCAAGCTTGTCTGTCTGACTTGGTGTTAAAGCCTGAGTGTATTTCCATCCTATTTCTGCTTCTTCTGGGGGGTTAAACGCATAAAGCAGAGTTGCTTCACACATATGCTGTTCTAAGTATTAAGAGATGAATTAAAGCACATTTTCTTTCCATTTTTTTTAAAAAAATTCAGATAGTTCTATTTTCACTTCTATCATCTTAAATCAACTACAAAATCTTGGAAACATGCTTGACTCAGAATTTCCTAGGCCATAATTTTGTCCTATCTTGTAAATACGTAATATATCTCATTGTATTTCATCAAGGGCAAAACATATCTTACTGTAGGTAAAGCAAACTCATAATAACCTACCAGTTATCAGCTCGCTTTTAAAAACATGAAAAAGGGAAAAAACAAAACAAACTAGCAATAAAAAAGCAGTATTTTGAACAATCAAAATACTCACTTGAATTATGACAGGTACTAGGAGAAGAAAAAAGATGAGAAAATGTTATGGATACATGAAAGAAATTCTTGGCAAGAAATTTGGACCACCAGAAATTAACTGTCTGTTACAATCTGAAAGTAGACAGTGTCAAAGGATGTCATGCTGAGTTTGAGAAGGAAAGGTATACGTTTTTAATTAATTTAATTCAATAATTTAATATAATAGTTTCATAAAATAATATACAGTTAGGCCAGAAGGGATTTGGATTGTTTGTTTCTGAACTGGCCTCTGATTCATAAAAATTGCATCTTCCACCCTGTTTTTTGAACTGAAGGTTTTTGTCAGGATCCTTTGCCTGTATTTTCTGTTAATTTCTGTTAATTTCTTTTAGAATATTTCTGTATGCGTACAAGTGTTTGTGTGTGTGTGTATGTATAGATGTTTGAACCTTCCTAATGCTTCACATCCTTTCCAGGCTACTCTTCAGAATGGTTCAAGTTAGGTTCTTCCAGCATATTTCTAGCCATGAGGTATTGATTTAATCCTTTTTTTTCAAGTGAGTAATTACATTAAGTTTGTCTTTGGAGAAAGGCATTGTTTTTCATTTGCTCATCTTCCTCGAGTACCTTACCTCGACTTGTCTTTCCTGACCTCAATTAAATTATTTCCAAGTGAAACCATAATAAAAAACTCTACACTGGCATTTTCACCCGCTTTTTACCTCAGTAAAATAGATGCTAGCTAAGCAAGAGTTAAAAGTATCCCACTGCTTTGGAAGTTTTAGATTTCCAAGCCCCTGCTGTTGTAAGCTTCTGATTGCTATTGTGGCAAAGAAACCCTGAAGTGGTCAAACACTGAGATGGCTAAAGATGGCTGGGCCTGTCCTGCAAGAGGTTGATGGCTCTGGCCCTGCTCCAGCAGAGAGAGCCAGCTTTCATAGCAGCCTGTGTGTAAGTGCGTTGCTGGTTTGGAGCCAAAATGCCTTGGCCTCACAGGATGAAGCTGTAAAATTCGCAGATTCATGGAGAGTCAGGCCAGAGGAAAGCTCTGCAATCATCTGTTGTGACCTGTAATGGGTCTCACAGAAGCTAAATAAAAGACCCCTGTTACCTTCACATGTTTTCAAGTGGCAGCACATGACTTTTCCTGGAAAACATGCCAGTATTTATCATTACTGCTAGGAAAATGTTTTATATTTTGTGGACACTTTTTCTAGCAGCATCTTCCAGCTTCATCCTTCTCTTTTTTGTGAAACTGGAAAGTGCTTTGCCTTCAACTGTCAGATCTCTCTTACATGTTCTAAGTGCCTGTACCCAGTACTCGGAGTCACATCTCTGTCTTTCCCACAATTTATGTTTACCACTTCCACTTCACATGATAAAAATATCTGTACTCTTGTTTAAATTTGCAGCTTGCTGTTAATGGTAGTTCATGAACTCACCAGGATTTTTTACATTTTCACATGTGAGGACTGTTACAGCCTGATGCTTCCTGTATATGAGTCTCTGAGAAGTCTGAAAAATGTGTGTACACCACACCTGCATATTGCCTGCTGAACAGATGCAGTTATTTCTTGAAAGATTATTAAATTTACAGTTTCGATGCCATTTTGCATTGTCTTGTTCTTTTTGCATGTGGTGCATTGCAGAGCTATAGTTCAGCAAGCTCTAATGAAATGACTGCTTTGAAGAAGAGCAGAAGCCTGCTTTTATTTCACTGTCCTGAAATGAAATGTTCTGCATTGCAGAAATGCCCATGGAGAGATCGATGGATAGAATTTGCTTTTTGGAGAGTAGGCTGTGTAGTGCAAGATGCAATGCTCGGCACTAATTAGTAAATGGAAAGTACTGGGGAAGCTTTCACAGTCTTCTATGAATGGTGTTTGTCTTAGATTATGTAAACATTATTTCCTACCTCCTGATGGTAAAAATTTACATGGATTCAAACACGAAGCAAAGTTAAAAGATGGGATGGGGAGAGAAAAGCACTTGATAAGAAGCAGATGCATATCTATGGTTAGCTCCAATGTGAGTTTTCTGGTTTCAGCTTTTGACTACAGTTATCCAAAGCCTTCACAGAAAGATTCCTGTCTTTTATCATGCAGGGAAGAGCTTCAGATGCAGTTCCTGGTACCGTTTATCTGACCTTCAAGAATGAGGAGGAAGGAAGGAGCAGAATTCAGAGCAGTGCCCAGCAAAATGATTCATGCTCCATTCAGTTGCCCTGACAGGCCTTTCAAACCCTTGGCTGCATTTTGCTTATGTAAACAAGAGCTACAACTTAGGTGGAAAGAAGCAGTGTGGTTGACATTTTGACATTCATACTTTTAAAACCTTCTTTGGCTAAGATCAGTAGGGAATCATAACAGCAGTATAATTCAGTGCAAAAGTAGCTGGATTTTGTTCTCTGAAATCCACATCATCTATATATTTCTGATTGTACAGCAGAAGAAAAGGCTTACTTAACTGTTTCTAAATTCAGCTGCAGCCTTTTGGCAACTTCTTGCAATCCTGTTGTTCTCTCTCATTGCCCTGGGTCCCCTGTGGAGAGCCATGTTTCTGAAATGCATATTGCAGCTATGGGAATCCAGCTGAAGGAGGGCAAACTGCAGGGCACTTTCTGTTCAGCCCTTCACTGGAAGAAAGGAAAGGGTGTACTGGTTCTCTTGTATCTCTCTGCTTGTAAAAGTTGCTCTTAATGAATAAGAAGTATAGCCTAGTCTGCCTATTTTTGAGTGCAAAAGACTGCTTTGCTCTGTAAATATACTGCTCCCATTATTCATGACTTAAATCACCAATTAACTCTCTCCCCAGTTAATAAAGAAAAGAAAAGTCACTCTCAATTTCATAACCTTATAAATTTTGGTAACAAAGGGGAGGAACAGGATATGACTGAAGCACACCAGGGAGAAAAGCCTTTTTCTGTCCCTCTGAGTTACCACCTTGCCTGGGGGCAGAAGGTATAAGATTAGCCTGTATTTCCATGCCTTATGCTCATATCTAGGATATTTCTGTCTAGCCAAAGACTGCCTTCTCAAACTCTTAATCTAAGTCAGTCACTCGAACTGAAAGCTGCAGCCTGGAATCTGTAGCTGAACAGCAAACTCCTTACTTGCAAAGCTTCACACCCCCCCAGAGTGTCCTTTTGGTGGTGAAGTGCATGCCATCCTTAGAGGAGACCACAAAGGAGTATAACTTATAAGGCAAGAGCTTCTGAATTCAGCACCTGCTTTAATTCATTCCACTGCCAGAAAAATATGCTACTGGTGTGTTTGCCAGGGTAGGTTTCTTCTGATCTATTTTTCAGGAAACAGTTCCCACTGGGCTTGACAGTCAAAAAATAGCATAGTTAGCCTATCTCTAAAAGTCTTCTTCTTTAGGCACTGAGTGCCAAAAGAGCAGGAGTTCATGGCCCTCATACTCATGCCTCTGTCTATTAAATCAAATGCCAGAAAGTTCAGTTTGCAAAGCTCCACTTCTTGAGCCTCTTAGCCAGTCACTGTAAACTTAGTCTTCACCTCTGGCTGGTCCCTCAGAAGTTCTTCCAAATCTCCAAGTGTGGTAAAGGCATGCTATGGTGTTTGGAGATTGCTCCTGTTTGAAGCATCTCCAACTTTTCCAGAGTGTTAGAAAATAGGCTTAAGGAATATGAAATGTATTTCACATCCTTTAATATGTTTTCCACCTTACTTGCTTTGTGATCTATGGCAATACTTTACCTTGGGCTCCCATGATGGAGGACCTTAAATGTTGAGTGTTTATGTCCGTGTTCTTTTATATCTTTTAAAGAAAATGTACCTTCAAGCATTTATTTCTAAACCAGGTCACAGACACTGAGATTAGCATGTCTAGATTATAGGTGATTTCTTTTTGTCCACTGACATCTAAACACCATACCTGAAGGTTAAACATGAAGTGCAGCAAAAGTCTGCAAAAACTCTTCTTTTGAGCTTTATTCCCTCTCCAGATTCCTGAAAAAGTTGGCAATCTGGTGCTTTCTTTCAAATTTCTTTCTCTTTAAAGCAAAACAACAACAACAAAACAAAACAAAACAAACAAAAAAAACCAAACAAACAAACAAACAAACAAACAACAACCACAAAAAAAAAGCTGCCTAGCTGCCTGAGAATGCCAAACAGCTTTTCAGTTAGACTGTCTACTAAAACGAAAAATCTCAGTAGTTGATAACACCAGGGAGATGCTGCTGGATGAAGCTTCTTGGCAGGTCATCTTTTTTTTTTTTTTCATTAACCATTTATCACTAATCTTCACCCTGGAGTTCCCTTACTCCAGCTGGTAAGCACTAAGATAAACCAAGAAACCTATGTTACGCCATTTTCTATACAGCTTACAAAGCTGCTGCTCTCCCAAGAACAGCTCCTCTTTCCTTGGCTTTCTATTCTTTC